CCGCAATTTAAAGGAGATTTAAATTGAAAATGAGATTTACAAAATGCAAGCCATTCCGCCTCCTGCCCACACCCATCTCGTTCCCAAGAGAGGAGGGGAGATGTTGAAAATGGAAATGACGTCCAGTGGAGTGAGTGGTGCACCCAGAGTCAGCAGACAGTTGAGGGGGGTAGCTGCCCTGGGGCACAGGGAAGCTGGGGGAACGTGATGGATGAGGGTGGGAGGCTGGTACATGACTGGTTGCTACTGTGTTACGTGGCTGCTCTGTTGCCCCTTTGTTGCTCCTCTCAGAGTGAGCCGAAGGACCCTGCTTGCAGCAGGCCTGGCCTCCTCCGGGACAGAGCACCCAGGCCAGGCCTCCAGAGGGACTGGAGAGTGAGGGCCCCCTCCTCCAGCAGGCGGCGCTGCAGGCCTCCCCGGCGCTCAGACGGTGGAGAGGAGCTGGCTCCACACCCGAATGGCCCGAAGCACAGATTACAAGGCACAAGTCCCCACTTGACTAATTCTGTTATCTCTGCTCTTCACCACCCTCACCATCTCCCCCGGGGAAGCCATACTCTTCCCAGCAGGAGCAGCCTGCTCCCCATGCCATTGAGCAGATAACAAACAGGACCCCCTAGGCCTGGAGCGCCCGCCCCGGGGGCTCTCACTGCTCCCAGCTCTGTTGGCCTTTTCTCCTCCTGGGATTGCTGGAGCTGGGTGATCCGGTCATTGAGATGGTTTGACTCTGTGCTGCTTGTTGCATTGGATTCCAGAAATGCGCGGCTCCCATCGAGGGCCAGAACAACTGTCCTGTTGCAAGCTCGGGGGCATGCCTGTGCCCGCACAAGCACCTGGGTAGTTTGGTCAAGAAATTATCATATCATAGCAACTCCAGGAAAACAGATTCCAGGTATTTTCCAGGAGTTCTTATTGAGCTTTTGACGGCAGCCCCTGGGAGGAGATGACGGTCCCACTGGGGGAACAGTAAGTTGTCGACAGGTTGATTCTGATGCATAACCACTCCATGCGTGCTGAGTCGAACAGGGCTCCCCAGCGTTTTCAAAGCCAGGGTGTTTGGGGAGCACAGGGATACAAGCCTGTCCTATGAGGTTCCTCTGGGTGGGTTCAAGCCACCAGCCTTGCAGGCGGGAGTCGAGGGCTTCACATTTCGGCCATCGAGGGCCTGGGGACTAGGAGACCCGTCAGATTCCGTTAGCCTGGAGAGTCCCGAAGGCTCTCAATGGCAGGCCCCCACAACCCCAGGCGGAACCTCGATCCCGCCCTGCAGCTAGAAGCACTGCACAGCTCTGGTCCCAGAGCCACTTGGCAGAGGGGGAGTCAGGGGCTCACAGAGATGAAATAGCTGGGGCACGAGCAGGTGAGAGACACGGGCAGAATGCACACCCAACGTTCTCTGACTCCAAGGCCCAAGCTCTTTGGTTTGACCGGTCAGGGTTCCAGGGTGGCACGGGGCTTGCCTGCTGTACTCTCTTCTCCGAAACTAAGTTCCCTGAGGACAGGGATCAGGTCTTAGTCACCGATATTGCCCTTGGCCGAGTGCCTGGAACCTGCTTGCCCGCTAACTGGCACATGGCAGAGTGGCCTTGCCTCTGTCCGTGTGCAGACGGTGTCAGAGGATCAGCGGCCGGAAGCCAGACAGAGACGGGGATGTGGACCAGGAGGAAATTAACCTTTGTCTTCCTCCTCCTCCTCCTCCTCCCACAGCCCTTTGCGGCACTGGAGAAAGCCTTCCACGGGTCAACACAAGGATGTCGGTGGGCTTTCTTCATCAGCTCGTGGACTCCTTCGAGGGCAGAGTATGTCTCATGAAGACCCTGGGTCAGTTGGCCAGGGGAAATGTCAGCTGGAAGGCCCCAGTTGGTGACAGTGTGTCCTCTGGCCGCCGTGGCATCTCCCCTGAATCAGGCTCCTCACAGCCTGGTGGTCCTCTGGCTGCCTCGAGCGGAGGGAGCCTGATTGATCCACGGAGACCGGACTCGATGTTCCTGCTTAGCCCAGCGCGTTCCCTGGGCCCGTCTCTCGTGGCCATTCATCGGGATTAGATATTGGCAGCCTGGGCTGATTAAAGGCTCACGGTCGCCTCCTCTTTGTTTTTTCGCAACAAAGAGGTGTCAGGGTTTTTCATCCTGAAGAAGACTTTGACCTTGGCAGTGGTGAGAGCCTTTGACACACCTGCCTCTACGCTCTGGCTGGCTGTCTTCGTGCACAGAGAAATTGATAAAGGGAAACTCCACGGCGTCACTCACTAGAGCAGCAAGCAGGTGAGTAGGAAGTCCACCCGCCACTGGGCTGCCAAGCACACAATCACCGCTCACGGCCACCACTTTCTGAAAGCCTTCTCGGTGAGTGACATGTGGTGACCCCATCGCTCCCCTCAATACACCATGGTAGTTGGTGTCTATTCAATAGTTGACACGTGTCAACTGCTTCTCTCTTAACAAAGCACCCCGAGCCCAAAGTCTGGGTCTTCTGTGTCCAGACAACTGTTTGGCCATCAGTTTCAGGTGGTGCCTGCCAAGACGGGGGTGGGGACTTTCCAACCCCCTGCTTCTGACAGGCAGAGTCACTGCGAAGTTTCTAGCTTGGCCAGTATGGCTCCCATGTTGCCGATGTGAGCACTCTGAGCCAGGGGCAGGGTGTAAGACAGGGGACAGGCCACTTACCTTGAGAATGGGCCGTCCTCAGTATGTCGTCACAGGTAGATGGTTGTCACGCCTCATTCTGCAGCCTTTGACCTGAAACTACGGCCCAACCAGGCCGAGCATGTCAGACCGGCAAGGCTTAATCGTTACACCACCAGGGCTGTTGGAGAGTGCAGGGCAGACGCCTTTAGCGGCTCTCACCCTGAAGACCAGAGGGCGGAGAACTAGTGGCCACGAAGCCTCTTCTTCTTCCTCCATGCCTCAGGCTCGCCTCCTCTGTGCCCTGTCCTGCCACAGGGGCCACCGTGTGCAGGCCCTAGGCTTGCAACCCACCTAGTTCTTCAGTCTTGGGAGCAACTCAATGAGCTCTCAGGTCACAAGCCTTAGTGGAGCCAGAGAAGCCGAGGTGTGGGGGTTTGTGTCCTTCGGAAGGCCCCTCTCAAGCACCCACCCCCACAGCCTCATTTCCTTCATCGAACCTCCCACTCCTCCGGGGTCAGGCCTGACCTGCAAGGAGCCACCGTGCACACAAGGCAGGGCCTGGAGTCGTGGCACTATCACCTACTAGCGGGGTCATCCTGGCAAACATCCAAGTCTCTCTGCGCCTCGGTTTTCTCTGAAAGAGATCCGAGGGCCATCCATGGGGCTGTGATGAGGACGGGAGAAGGCCGGGTACTTTAAGCTTTGTCACCATGGCTGGCACACAGTGGGCCCTCTGAAACGGACAGCTAGTTTGTGATCGCGCTCAGTCACTCACCCAACCCTGATTGATCTAGACTTCTGTTACCAGGACCATGAGCTGGATCTTAAGGACAAGACATGCCACTGCCATATTTTCCTTCACTCTCAACACCAGCCATCCAAACTCTCATACCCGCTGGTCGGCCCCAAGGGCCCAGCTACTGACACATGACTGAATCAACACACCTAGTCACTGAGCACCTGTCTGCTCCGCTCTGCCGGGCACTGTGCTGTCTGCTGAGAAAGGCTGGAAATAAACAAGCAGCAGCTGGTAGTCCTGGAACTTACCATATAATGGGGGGAGGACGACGATCAAGATGTGGACCAACAAACCGAGGTGTTCAAACCCACTTGGGACCCTAGAGGGGGAGGGGGCGGTGCTTCTAAGGCAGGCTAGGGGAGAGGGCCAATGACATGGCAAAAGGGCAGGAGGACAGACTGTGTGGGGTCCCTGAGTCACACCAGAGGCCTGCCCACCTGCTCAAGCACTGCCTCACTGGGTACATTAACAGCAACTGTTCCTGTGGGTTTCTGAGCCAGTAGCTCCTAACGGGATTAGAAAACCTAGTCTTTCTCCCGAGGAGCAGAGGGTGGTTTTGAACGCCTGACCTTGGTATCACTATGCCAGCGGGGCTCCTTAGGACAGTGTCGCTTTAACCCCCACAGCCAGGGTGAGAACATGTTATCAGGACCCTCAGGGAGTTGGCGTTATCTTCTAAGGTGCGAGAGTGTCGAAGGTCAGGGGCACCGAAGGAGTCCATGCCCTGCGACTGTAGCCTGTCCCTGCCAGGAGTCCACTGGCCAGCCCCACGGGAGAGCTGGACTCTTACGCCTTGTCCCCTCCATAGGCAAGGAGCCCCTGGGGTCCAGCCACCATTTGGCTTCCTGGGTAGGAGGACAGGGCCGGTTCGAAAAAGGGCAAATCACAGATGTCTACTGGCTTCAGACCCAAGTGGCAGACTTTTGCCAGAGGCACGGCCATGACACCGGCCAGCAGAGCCTGGAGCCTCTCGAGAGAGAGGCATGGTCCCACTCTCAGTGGACGGGCCGCCCAGGGTGAAGTCCACTGGGCGAGCGAGTGTGATCTTAGAAAAGGAAACGGGGGGGATCACAACCCTCGCTCTGCCTATTAAACGGGCACCCAGACAGCATCTGACTTCATGAGACACGTCACGTCTCCCTTGCATCCTGTACCCCCAGCTCCTGGAGGCAGGGCCAAGAAACAATCCCGTATTAACAGAACAGCAGTCTTCTCAGCCCACCTCTCTACAGTGCGTGGCTCCTCACTTCAGGGCTCCTGACAAGGAATCATCATTTCGCTGTGTGCTTCCCGTCACAGGGAACTACCACCCACTGGGGCGCTTCCAACATTCCACTTGCTGACTCCTCTCACGGTTAGAGAGACTCTTCCCGGTCTAAGAGCTTCGACGTAGGGCCGTATAACTGACATCAGACTTAAGACAAATCCACCACCCAAGAGCAGTGCGCCCTGCCCACTCCCTCCACCACGCCCCAGTGCCCTCGTCCTGCTCTCCCCGGGAGTTTCTGAGCCAGCGTTCACCACTGGACAACAGAAAAATGGGAGGGAAAAAAAAATTATAAGCTAGACCATCGTGGAGTATTTTTTCTGCTTTTATTAACAAGTCTCAAGAAAGCCTTCATTGAGAGGATGTACAAGTTATGGGGACCTGTGTATAAAACCTGGCACCGCATGTGGCCTGTGGGGCACATGTACATATAAAAATATGCATTAAAACGGGCACCAGACACCGTGCAAGGCTAACTACTGGTCCTGAGCAGAGTGGCTACAACGGTGGGCCTGGCCGAGGACTCGGGACGCTGTGGGCCCTGCTGCCTCAAGGTTGACCGGATGTGAGAATGACCTCACCCTGTAGCTCTCAGAGGCCCCAGCATGACAGAGCCACAGCGGTGCTGGGAGGGCAGCGGAGAAGGAGGTCACTCTCTCTTCCCGTGGTTCCTGGGCTCTGACTACAGTATTGCCCAAGGACTTGGGTCTCCGGCGGACAGACCTTTCGTTTCAGAGGAACTCGCAATGCTCAAATACGGTTTTCTCTAAGTAAGACGGCCAATTCCAACTCAAGTAGCCAAACCACTAGTGGCTTGAGCTGAAGGATTCAAAACTAATTAGTCTGTCACGTTCTGCAGGTCAAGACCTTGAAATGGCAGAACAGCGGTGACCTCAGCAGAAACGCGCAATGACCAAGACCTCAACCTGTTTCAGTCCTGGACCAGACACGACTTAGCAGTCCCGGTGCAGAGCTGACACTGCATGGGCGAGGATATGAAAAGCCCTTGGGTCAGCGCTGGAAGGCCCCTCTCCGGTGCCCTCACTGACACCTCAGCTCTCTTTGCACCTGGCAGGTGGCGGCAGCCTCTGGGGAAGGGGAGCCAATAGTGTGAGTTCATCGGGGCAGGCGTCAGTGTCCCTGGTCTGCCTATCCTGTCTCAGCCACAGAGCTGTGGCTCGGAGAGTCTGGCTCTCCACACCAGCCCTCCCTGCCCCAGGGGCTGAGAGTGAGGTGGGATGGGGAGCATTCGGTGGCGAGGTTGGGAAAAAGGCCCCGTAGGCTTTAAGCCACCAACAAGGGTGGTGGTGACACCTTGAAATCTCAGGATCCCTAAGAGTTCACCAGAGGGCATTCCAGCAGCCTCCACAAAGGGAAGACAGCTGCCCTACCAATTCCCAGGTAAAAGCAGAGCGATTCCTCAGCACCCCCAGGAGTGGCTATTTCCCCCGCCCAGTGCCGCCTGGCTCGTGGGGCCTGCTGCAGAGTGACGGGGCTGTCTCCTCAGCCGTGGCGACGAGTGAGCAGAGATGAAGGACAAAAGCTCCTGACAGGCACGCCAGGGTAGAGCTGGGAGCCACGCTGCACTAGGCTGTTAATGAGGGCCTCTCTCTCAAGCAGCCTGCGCCAGGCCCATGGGCTGAGTGAGAGGCAGGGGCTACCCATGCTAATGGGCCCGGGCGGCACTCCACGGCATCGTCTGCAAGACCAAGTGAACAAAAAGATACCTGCCGGGTGGCTGTGGCTCTTCCAGGGTAGGACGCCCACCCAGCAGCCCCTTCACAAACACTTAGACCATGCCCATGGAACCGAGGGGAAAGTGACCCGACAACACCCTCTAGTGGAAACAATAAATAAAACAGACTGCGCACTGAATTCACCTTCATCCAGGACAGAGCGGCTCCAAGATTCCCCCAATGGGAAAACGCAGCATGTTCAGAATAAGCGAAAAAAGGGTGTCGTGCGACACAGCACAGCCTTCAGAACCTCACTGCCAAATCACATTCCCTGTAGGGCGTTCTGTCTTCAAAAAATTCCCCCAGAGGCCATGTTGTCCGGGGAGCCACATCCTCCTACAGCTTGGGCAGACTGCCCGGAGGTGCCAGGATGATGCCACAGACGTAGAAAAGGCCCAGCAGGAGGTTGAGTTTGGCGGTCCTCTGGGGCAGTTTGTTGAAGGTCTGGCTCCGGAACTGCCTCTCCAGGGAGAAGGCTATGGGAATGGTGAGCATAGGGAGGGCCAGGCTGATACTGCAGCGTGTGGCCAAGATGCTGAACACGAGGTAGGGCAGGAAGAGCAGCGTGGTGTAGAGCACGTAGGACAGGGCGGGCCCGATGAGGATGGCCAGCGTGACGATGCCCGCCTCCTGGTCGGACTCCATGTCCCTGGTGTTGTTGCAATGGAGAACGGCCTCGGTGCTGAGGGCGAGGGGGATGGCGTAGACCAGGGGGAAGACCGCCAGGGACCCCACCTGGACGGCGTAGGCGAACATCACAGCCAGAGGGCCGAAAGTGATGAGGATGACGAGGTCTCCCAGCGCCACGTACTTGAAGCCAATTCCTACGACCAGAAAACCAGAGAGCTGGCGTGAGATCAAGCACAGGAGAGCCAGGGACCGTCCATCAGTCACAAGGCCAGGAGGCAGTGACTTCTCAGACGATGGCTCAAGTGCCTTCATGACCAGAGCAAATCCTGGCCTCTCCTCCACGGCGACCCAGAGGGAGCGAGAGATCTTAAAGCTAAGTCTCTGGAGACCCAATGCCCATCTCTAGACAACTGGACATACCTTGCAGAGGGGTAGTGGGGAGA